TTAAGAAATTCTTTATTATCATTAAGATCACGTTTTACTCCGACGAATATTGTGTCATTGTCATGGAATTTCTGGACGTGAAACAAACCGCTTAAGACAAGCTAAAAAATTATCCGATGTTAAATCGGTTATAGGTTCTAAGTGGACAGTCTTAGAACTGTCTTTTATGAGAATCGGTCCGGCATAATCGACGCCCGTAACCTGAAACGGAAACGAGTGTGTAACACGCTCCTTAGGTAATTGTCCAATCGGACAAGAAGCAAGTGTAGGTTTAAATTTAAAACAGCGCATGCAGTTATGGACTATCTGTTTCGTTAAATTTCGACCACCAATTACCCAAAATTGTTGCCTAATGTTCGACACAAATAACTGTGGTCCTGCATGGAGGAACTCTAAATGTTTTAATATCGGATGTTTGACGTTCTGATCAAGAGAAGAAAGTTCAAGACGTCCCCCTACTCTACATCATTTTCATCAATAAATGGACTTAACCCTTTGTAAAATTAATTTTTTGAAATTGTCTTTTTTGATTTTAATAGTGTGATTATTTCTGAAAAAGAATCAAAATGCCCATTTAATCGTTCGGAATATTTTAATTTGGATTTTTTTAAAATCTCATTCAAAAGGCATAAACGCCTTTTAATTTATTTAATTTAGAATATCTAACCAAAAATATCATTTGGCTTAATTATAGTGTAAATTCTAGAAGAGGATTTTATTTTCACCAGTTTTGACTCCATTGTCAAAATTTTATTATTTTGGGGTTGAGACCAACTGCACCCATCTATTAAGAGAAAGTTTGGTCCATACCACCATTTTTTACAACTTTCAAGCATTCGTGGGTACACCTCTGAAAGCTATATCTGCTGGGTTGTCTTTTGTATTTATATACAACCAATCGTCCGGATTGGGTAGTGGTTGTATTTGGGAAATACGATTGGCCACAAAAACTTGAAACCGACTAGGTTCTGCTTTAATCCACGCTAGAGCCACCTAAGAGTCAGTCCAATAAAATACTGGGTCAACCATTTTAATGCATCTATAACTCGACAAGCTAATTTTGCTACCAAGGGTGCAGCACATAATTCGAGACGAGAAATTAATACACATTTTACTAGGGCTACTAGGGCTTTTCGCACATAACAACTGAACGAAAAGGTTCCTTGCTTTGTTTTACTACGCAAATATATGCAACCAGTGTATGCACTTTGCCAAGCATCGCAATAACAATGAAGCTTGACAGGAATGTGGAATTTCGATAATGTTTTTGAGGGATAGATCTTTTCTACCCAAACTTTGACTAATTTAGAATATACAGGCTCGTCTCATGATAATTTCTCTGTGCAAAGTTGTTGTATTATTATCTTAAATAAGATAGTGCAAGGCATAAGTAAGCACTGCTAGTCCCATAGGTAACAGTGTTCAGCTCAAAGGACGATGGTCAGCGTCGATATGAATCTATCGATACATTTTTGATATATCAGCTGATCCAACATATTGGTAACTTCTAAATCGTAGTAAAATATCTATGATATCGTTTTGGAGTTTAGGACCCGTAACTTTTAAATCATTTAAGAACCAGCCTAATGTAGATGGGCATGATCCATCAAACACGACCCTTAGTTGGGTAGTAAGGCTTACCTCTTTGTAGACCCCATGATGAGGTAGAAAATATGAAGGATTTATTTCAATTGTTGAAGGAGGTACTTCAACCGTATAATTTAATAAGATATATTCTTTGATAAAAGCTGCATACATTTGTTTAATCTGTAGATCAGAATAAAGTTTTCATTTTAAGTTAAGAAATCTTTTTATTGCCGTTTTTTACTGACCCCTAAAAGTGCAGCGGGGTGCTTGAGAGGCATTTGAACTACAAATCTACCTTCAGCATCTCGAATATTCGTTCTATTAAACAATTCCTCACATTGAATTTGCTCTTTTGTTAACATTGAATTATTAGAAGCTTCTTCGAGCTCCCAAATTAAAAGAATGCGCAAAACACCCAATAGCCTAACAGCTGCTAAAATATTGCTGACATTATCTGAGACAACAACTACAATTTTGTACGAAATATTCCACTCTGCCATTTTCTCCTTCAATACTTTGCACAGATTTTCATCCGTGTAGCTGTGATTGTATTTTTTACACTTAATTAAAGACGAGCAACGATTGGTTTGCTCATCTATACAATGTGCCGTGCTAGCTATATAATTTTTGTTAGTCCTTTAAGTCCAAGAATCGGTTAGGCATACTGCTCTTGTAGTTTAAATTTTCATTTTTATTTTATTTCTTAATTCATTATAAGAGTTCGTTAAAAAATTATTTGTTAAAGTTTTTCTTGTTAAAAGTTGATACCCTGGACAATGAGAAACCATGTTAATACAATTTTTGAATTCCGGCTCTTCCACTATTCGTAAAGCATTGTGGCCTTATGAAATCATTTTTATAACTTGCTTGTCGATTTTAGCCTTTGTCGCCTGAGTTGGTTTCAAATTTAAAGATTTTGTTCACCTGTTTCCGATTTATTTTGCCGTTCTACACTTTATTATTGGTGTTTATTTTTGATGTGTCTGGCTAGATTGCCAACTGACCTGCTAGAAATGCTTATGTATTGCAAACAATAATTGAAGGGTACAGGAAAAGAACCGGCTAAGTCACAATTTTATAAAACCGAGAAAAACCGATTTAAAGGTTTAAAGTATAGAAACTTTTACTATAAATAGAACTGGATGTTAATATATTTTTTTTTATTGTTTGTTAGACATTTCTAGTACAGTTTATATTGGTCGCTTATTATAATTTTGATTTTACTTTGAACAAGGTACAGTTTTCTATGCAAACAACACAATTGAAAGGTAAAAAAACAGCTAAGTCCAGGACTTAGCTGTTTCTTTTCCTGTTTCAAAGAAAGAAGAATGAAAATAATGCTTTATTATTACAAACCACAATAACACGTTACAAACTAAAAATATTTAAATCAAACATTGTTCAGTATTGAGTACAGTTAAAAAAAATTATTGTTTCTCATAAGGCAATGTTGAAAAAAATGTTTGAGCTTCAGCACCACAAATTTTTTTTAATTCCTGCAGGTTTTTATACTTTGCAAGAGATATTGGAAGCAACCCTGTAAAGAATTTCCAGAATTAACATTTTAATCTAGTTTACATGAATTTTTTAGGTTCAATTATTGAGATAAAAATATTTTAGTTACCTTTATATGAGAGTGGAGGAAGACGAAATTCTTTTCCAGTTAGACCCTGACGATACTTGTATGATGGACCTCTAATTTATCTAACCTAACTGTAGACAGTTTTTGATAAAGTTGCTTTTCAAAGAATAATAAGAAAGTATCTATTACATTAAAAAAATGAATAGAGCAAAAAGGATAAAATTGATTCGAGTAAGTATTAGTTTTAAACTTTAAATGTTAAAGTTGTATGGGCATACTGTAAATTTTAGGAGTTAATTGAAAACGAGGATAATGATGACACAAGTTCTTCCAGTGGCAGTAGCAGCCTAGATTTGTTTTTATCTTCAGATGTGTCTTCTGATTTATCGTCCGATTCCGATTATGAGAGAGGTCAATCAAACCGTATAACAACGTTTCTTGAAACAGTTACAAAATACAATGACTCTGAATTTAAAGAACATTTTCGTTTAGAACGTAACACCTGTAATTTAATAATTGGTATGTGTATATTTAAGTGATTACAAAAGCGGGAGAGTAAATATTTCACCAGAGCGAGCAATCTATATGACCCTATGGTATCTGTCAAACACTGAAACTTTCAGACAAATATCTGACAGGTTTGGGGTCAGCAAAAGTACTGCACATGAGATAATAAGTAAAATAATAAATTATTTAGTCAGTCAGAGTAAGAAGTTGGCGAACAGAAGAAAAATAATTAATAAATTTAAGAAAAAAATCCGGAATGAATGGTATTATCGGAGCAATAGATGGAAGTCACTTCCATATAAATAAACCAAGGTCTCAATATTCAGTTGCATACTACAACTGAAAAAGTTACTATAGTATATTACTGCAAGGTGTTTGTGATAGTGACAGAAAATTTATAGACATTTTTTGTGGAGAGCCAGGCTCTATGCATGAGAAAGTCATCGTTGTTTGCAAGAGGTAATAGTGGAAATCTTGTAATCTGTTTATTAGCTGATTCAGCATATCCTTCATTAGATTGGCTTATCACACCCTATAAAGATAATGGACACTTATCAGTAGAACAAAAACAATTTAATAATAATCATTCTTCAGCACGTGTTATAATAGAGAATGCCTTTGGCCTTTTGAAAGGTAGATTTAGAAGGTTAAAATATTTTGAAAATGTAAATATTTCATTTATAGTAAAGAGTGTTTTGCTGCAACAGTTTTACATAATTTGTGTTTATCAGTAGATGACGTTTTAGAAACAGAAAATTATTCAGAAACAGTGAACGAATAAAATAACTCCATGTTAAGGGATATCCACTATTTCCTACTCTTGATGCCATTTATGTATTTGTTGTAGCTTTCATAATTTTTAATATATCCAGGTTAATTTTTAAGGTATAGTGTTATTACATTCTGTCTTTAAAGTAGATACGTTTTTTTCAATCAAAAATTATTTACAATTATGTGATATCTATTTCATGTGGACTAGTTTATTTGCTGATTTTACATTTTGTAATTTGAATTAAAATATAAAAATTAAATGGTTATCATCATGTTTTTTATTATGTAATATAAAAGTAAGTATATATTAAGTTTAAAATATCTGAAGTTTATAATCAAAGTATATATTTATATGCTGCACAGTGCAGTACTAAATAAAATATCAAATGTTTTTAAAGTTACCTTAGAAATAAAAATAATGTGTTTCTTCACAAATTTATTTTATTACTACAAAAACAGTCAGTAACAGAAAAACAAAATTTTTAAATCAACATTTAAAACATGTGCATTAACATTTAAATATTATTAATACTGTTAGCAAGTTTCTCTAAAGCTATAACTTTTCTATCTTCCAATTCCAATTTTTTTGCATTTGCATATTCCTCTCCTTCTTTAGTTTTAATGCCTCTTCTATATAATTTTCTCTTTGTTGCTTTTTATCCTGACTTTCCATTTTCTTCTCTTCATAATACTTTTTTTTGAGTTCCATATAATCTGCAGTAAGATTCCTTCGCTTCTTTTTTGAATTGTCTGAATATTTTGTATTTTCAGAAGATTGTTCAACATTACAATTTTCAGTGAATTTTTCAACCTGGGTATTTTCTTCCACTTGATTTTTAATAATGTTGTATGTGTCAATAGAATGGGGGCTAGAGTTTGTTGGTGTTTCACCCAAAATTTCATCCATCCTCTCATAATACACAAATTTTTGTCTTGCATAAATTTTCCAATTTTTGATTTTGGAAGCTACTGTAACAAATTTACGTTTGTCAGTATTTTCTAGTAAGATGTGTGTGGATAATGTACGTATTTAGTTCATCCTCTAAACATTTCCAGGGATGACTCAATAGGTTGTACAAAATAACTGAAAAAAAGCCTGCAATAACTAGACAGGAAAGTCATGTCTTGGACAAATCAGATTTTTTTAAATAAATTTCGTGAAAATTTACTTCAAACATTGAGATTCATCATATTACAAAATAGTAAAAACAAATTCAGAAAAACTTCTTACAAGTTCAATCACATATATTATGAAAACACTTCATGCAAAAAACTTACAGACAATCCTTGACTTGCCAATTTTTCGTGCACAATATTCCAAAAAAAATTTTTTTTATGAATGTGAAATAAATCCTCATATCTGCACTTTAATGATGTTAGTAAGCTTAATGTTGATTCATGAGACCATACATTTTTATTGCATGTATTTTCTGTACTTTTCTTTTTCTTATCAGTGTTGTCACCATCTAAATTTTGCGACGGCTCCGCGTCATCCAAATCTTCCAACTCATCACTGTTTGAAAAAGTTAAAATTATTTCCTTGGGATTTGGGTCATGTTCATTATAGATTTTAATACAAGGCCGCTGATATTCGTTAAAATATATCATATTATTGTCTATCCATATATTCGCCCCATTTTCTGTAGAAAAAATGTCAGAGGTAAACATAAAAAAAACAATCCTTCATGTAGTTTACTTACCAGTGTCTCTCATGAAAACTTGTCCGTTTTCATTAAGCACCCAACCATTATTATTTCTAATAATTGCATATGCCATTTTTGAATGTATTTGAATATGTGAAATGATAATTCACAAAAACAATTAAACAATCACTTAACCTAACCTCTAAAACGCCGGTAAGCCAGATGTTTACAAGTAAGTGTACCTTCAAAACAGCTCATTTTTGGCGAAGGGGGAGGTACATTTCTCACTTGCTTTTCCTCACTTCTTGTCAAATAGAACGCATCAGCAACTGAGAACTTGACAAGTGAGGTAAGGAAGTGAGATTCTGATGCAAATCGAAAGCAGCTAATACCACACACACCGAATAATGGTTCTAACAGCCGAACTAGACTCAATCCAACTGAATTCCGCTGCCTCGCCTCTTCGCTGATACCGTCGGTGCACACGAACGTATTTATACGGTGCGGTAACGCAACGTAAAAACACGCCTGATCCACAAATACATTGACTCCAATGGAGCAATTCACACTTGACGTCGACGACGTCCGACGTTCTTCACCGCTCGACGGTGACGCAGCGGCGAAATCCCCCTTACGGTGACTGCTTCACCGCTGCCGTGATCCTTCGTTCGCGCGGCAAAACAGTACGTTACCGTATATCGTTGAGTGCACATGAGCGTCAACAAGAACGTGCGGTGAAAATGTCTGAAAGGGAAATTGACACGGAGTTACTCATTGAAGAGGTGAGAAGACATCCAGAACTCTGGGATGTAGGTAGTGAAGACTACAAAAATAAAAATAAAAAAACTGCGGCTTGGATAGAATTTTGTAGTACCCTCATCCCCGACTTCGAAACCAAGGAAGAAGCCATTAAAAATGAATTAGGTAAGTACAAATATTTATTTATCGCAATCAGACCTGGACAAAATAATTTTAAAAGTTAGTTAATTACGAACGATAATTATTACTTTTTAAGAAAACGGCTTTTTTCCCAAAAAATCTGTTTACGCTTCGTTAATATAACTTTAACAATTTATCACGACAAGCGCTAGTGCTCCATTTGGGTAGCATATACTAGAATAGTGTAGCATTTAGAATAAGTTTTGGTAACTAGGCTTACACCATTCGATCCTGCCAAGGCACTCGCCCTGCGTCACTAACGAAATAATCAGCCCATGTGTGACGCTGCTGGTTTAGAGCACGTCCACCTTGAGGTACAGTAGGGACAGCTTCATCGGCAAATAGTCCGTTAGTAGTTAGTGTATCATCATATGAATATCCATCGCGATTACGTACGAAATTATGTAAAATGCAACAGGCTTTCACTATATCTTTTGCAAAGTCCAAACTGACATTTAGCGGTCGATGTAGAATGCGCCATTTGTTGGTCAAGATACCGAATGTACATTCAACATAACGTCGTGCTCGGATGAGGCGGTAGTTAAAAATTCGTTTCTCATAACTTAAAAATCTGCCGTTGAAAGGTCGCAAAATGTGCCGCGATAGAGCAAACGCCTCATTTGCAACAAATACATACGGCATTATTCGGTTAGTTCCGGGTAACACTTTTCCGCGTGGAATGTTTAATTAACCATTTTCTAGCTGTATATTAAAGGAAGACTTCTCAAAAATAGTGCTGTCGGAATCTTTGCCTGGTGCACCAACGTCTATATAAATAAAGTTGTATGAAGCATCTGCGATGGCTAATAAGACGAATGAAAAGTAATGCTTATAATTAAAATATAAGGATCCACTTAGGCTCGGTTTAATGCATCTGATGTGCTTTCCGTCTATCGCTCCAATGCAGTTTGGAAAATTCGTTTTCGTTTCAAATCCTTCGCAAACTTGTACAAGGTACAAAGGTGATAGAGTGGGTGATATGAACTAACATAGGGTAAAACACAATAAGCCAATAGGCTTCAGTGTTATTCGGAGACACATAATCAGACGAGCCCAGGAGAGAAAAAAAAATCCTTCGCAAATACTTGACCATCGATCTTCAGTATATGCCGGAAACATCTCACAACAAAGAGTAGTCCACAGTGCTCGACACATTTTTCTGACCAATTTGCTTAAAGTTGAACGCCCAATGCGGTAGAAGTAATGTAATTCAACTAAGGTACTTCCTCCACCCAAATATCTAAAACAATAACATAAATATCACCAAATATATACCCAACTTTTTATGCATATTCACTAAATCAATATCATACATTAATTCTATATTTCAGGAAAAACAATTATGGGTCGCTGGCGAAATGTGAGAGACAACTTCATGCGTTTCCAACGTAAGATAACAAAGTCCGGCCAAGCAGCCGAAACCGGCCGAAGGTACATATACGCCCGCCAGCTGGACTTTTTGATGGAGACGCGGGAAAATTTTCCAACGGAAGCTAGTTCCCAAGCAGAGGAAGAAGATGCCGAAGCCGACAACGAAGAGCCTCACGCCGGGAATACTGATGAGATTCCCGGTCCTTCAAGAACCGCTCAACGTCGAGCCGCACCTACGGCACCTCCGAGGAAAAGGTTTTCCTTTATTGACATTTATGCAACAGCGCCCCGCACCAACGCCAGCCCCAGACGACGACGAAGACAGAGCATTCTTTAACTCCCTATTGCCGATGGTTCGAGGATTTACACCGGACCAAAAAATTGAATTTCGATTAGAGCTTTTGAAGATGGTCAAGCGCTATCGGTCAGGCCTGCTTCCTATACAATCCCAACATGAAATGCAACATTTTCACTTTGTCACTCAACCGACACCCATTCGTTCACATACTCAGCTGCAAATTCTGATCATTTTCCCTCCTCTCTTTTCACATCCCAAAGACCGTCGCAAACTCAAACATTCACTTCGGTACCTCAAAGGTCTCCTTTGCCTTCATTCTCCCCAGACCTTGCTTCTCCATCTTCCCAATCTCAACATTCACCTTCTACATACGATTACGATTTGTATTCACAGCAGTAATTATTAATAAATGTATTTAGTCCATTTGTTTATTTTTTTTTATCTTTAGATAATAAAATTCGCTATCTTTGTGAAGATCAATTTTTTGCCAGATTATTTTAGTAAAATTGCTTCAAAACGTAAACGACTAATTGCAAATTCTGTAACAATTAAATTAGATAATAGTACATCCAGTTTAACTATACCCAACTATACTCAACCCGAGAGTCAGATTTTAGAAAATGTAGCATAAGATAGATTTGCTATTCTGCAACGATAAACAAGAAATTATTTGTAAACGTAAACTTAGTACCTATTAGTGATAAACAATTTGAACAACCCTCTGTTAAAAATGAAAAGTAATTTTTAAACTCAAATTTGTTAGATCAACTAGAACAGATTTGTTAAAATATAATTCAAATCAACCATTGCATTATGAGAAATAAACTGAAAGTTTTTTCTATGAACTAATTTTAGACAAATTAAAAATAACTTACTTTTATAAAAATGGGCAACATAGAGAAATTGTTTAATAAGATATAAGTATATACACTGTTTTGTTTTTATAGGAAACCCCTGACACTCGCATCAAAATTTGATCCAGTTTTCCAAGAATGAGAGGAGAATACTATTAATTTCACTTACAGTTATTGTTATTTGTACATATTATGTATGTAATAAAGGTTTAAATGCACCTTACTTTTATTAAATAATTAAACTATACCTACCTACCTCTTGTTTCAAATATTTTAATATATTTTTAATTTATATTTTTTGGAGTTTTATTACTTAATAAACCAATATTTATGTTAAATACAGTATTTTAATGTAAATATTAGTTTTTTAAAGTAATGAATGCCAAAAATTGTATATAAATAATAAAGGACATTTGAATGAGCCGCTTTTAGGCTTGACACTCTTCTTTTTAATTTTCTTCTTTTATGCTGACTCTAACTGTCAAGTTAATCAGCCAATTGTGTTGCGTGCGATGGTGGTGCCAAATAGTAGGTTTGTTCAAGCAGCAGTTTGCGACAGTTGCCAACTGGACGGCGTATGCGTAGTTTATTTCTAGCGTTCGGGCAGACAAATTTTTAAACTGCCAACTTGGAGTACGGTATTCGAGCAGGTTTGAATCTGATTTCCCAACCGTTTGCTGACTATCCGAGCAGTTCACAGACTCAGGTCAAACTGTTGGTTTGAGACTTGCGCAAAAAACTTTTTTTTAATTATAAACACCCAAAGGGCGGAGACCATTAAACTAAAATAAGAAGAAGAAAAGACTTTTATTGTTATAATTTGTCAACAAATGTTGATGTAGTTGTCAGTTCCTAGTTTTTTCATTATTGTACTGTGATTTTTTTGTTTTTTTATTCCTGTGTTTTATTCCAATTTCCAATATAGATACAGCGAGATAGATACTGGGGTTCTATTCTACATACCTATTTGTAGTGTTTGTCTTTAGCGTAAATTGTAGTCTAACGTTATTTTTTAATAAAAATAGAAGAGATTAAGTAGTTCATTCTCTAATAATAATTATTACTATGTTTTAGATATCTGATTATACCTCATCAAGTTCATCTAGCGACAGTGATATGTTGCTGTTGGACTTGTCAAGTGAAGATGAATTGGAACCTTTTCTTCAAAATGAACGTCCCAAGAACGAAACTTATTTTGAAACAATTGAACGTTACAACAATAGGCAGTTCACAGAATATTTTCAATTAAGTAGGGACGGAGTAGTGTACATATCTGAACGGTTCAAAGAATCGCAATATTTTAATTATCAAGCTGGAGGCAATGGAAAATTGTCACAAATGCAACATGTGCTAATATTCTTGTGGTATGCAGGACATCAGACTGCTTCTTTTCGTGATGTTGCTGACAGATTTTGTATTACACTAAGTACTTTGTATACAATAATTAGAAAGCTTGCATATTTCCTAAGTAATCTTTCAGATGAAGTAATTAATTACTTGGCTAACAAATGAGGAGAAGCTGGAAACTGAATTGTACTTTAAAAATAATAATTTTCCTGGTGTTATTGGATGCATTGATGGCACCCATATAAAAATTGACAAACCAGAGCAAGACCCAGACTCCTACCTAAATAGAATACACTTTTTTTTCTATACAAGTAAGTATCTGAA